GCAGAGGAGGCTAATATGGAGTGAAGTACAGGAAGCCAGAACTACCCGAGTCCTGCCTCTACCAGCCATCCCTCCCCGTGGAGTTCCAGGGAAAATCCGTAGTCAGAGGACAAAGCAAGTCAGGAGGGGCCACACCCACATGCTTGCTCATCTGCGGGCTGTTTCAGCCTCTAGGGTAGTGGACCAACGCCTGATCTTCAAGTGAAGTTATCCAGAAGAGCATCAGCACTTCAGCCCATCCTTGGGGATTAACTGAAGGGGAAGGGTTGAAATCCAGATGAGTGCTTCCTTTTGTTTGGGAACAGAGAGCGAGAAGAGGTATCCCTCACCCCCCAACACACTCCTGAAAGGAACAGGGAAGGGCATGAGGGTTCAGGCACGCCCGTGTCTGAGCAGTGATATGGCGACGGGCCTTTTCGTGGGAGCACAGGACAACAAAGATGGCAGACACAAGAGAGAATAAGGAAAACTCCATACCCCTTTCAGGTAAAAAGCTCGGATACACCTTCAACAACAGGAACTTCCACAACGTGTCTTTGGGGCAAGGACAGGAAATAGTGGCTGAGGCGGCGCTGGACCTGGCTGCCAAGAAAGGCCACTGGGTTATTTTGCAGGTACGCCCCCTCTGCCATGGTCAGGGTCATTCTTGGCCCCCACCTGTCTGGACCTCACAGGACAATCTCTGGGCTCCTCTGTGCTCTCCGCCCCTCTCCCCGCCTTTCCTTCCACACCCTTTCCTGTCTCACTGCCTGATCTTCCCTCCTTCCCTCCTCTGGGGTCCCCCTCACCCCTCCCCATGACTCCTTGGCCCTTGGCCCTCACAGGCCCCCACCCCCCTCTCTAGTTGAAATAGCTCCACTTACATCCCAGTCGGGGGCCTGCTCGGGGAGTAGGTATCCAGCTGAAGACGGTGGAAGCCGGGTCTTGTTTGCCTGCTAACCTCTTCCCAGGCATATCACAGAACTTTCCACTGCTCTGCCCTTCTGTGCCCTGCATTCTGTGTTCTCCATTACATGCGTGACTGACTACAGCAGCACAGGTGTAACTGGACCTCAGCCTCCGCACCCAGAGCTCTTGTTGGTGGGTGCCAATCTGGAACGCCTCCTGCTGGTAACTTCACTGAACCCACAAGACATAAGGGCGGCCCCTCTTCTGTCACTGCCTGTCCCCTCATCCCTGGTTTATGCACCTTGCAGGGGAGCTGGGGCTGGGCCAAACCTCTGTCGGGGTGCCCTGGCCTTGCTGAAGTGAGGACTCTCGCATCTACCGACGTCCTTTCCTGAAAGCTCTCCCAGATTAAATTCAGGAATTGGAATTCCCCCGGGAGGAGTGGAGGGCTCGCTGGTGGGTCGCTGGCCCGGCCCGGCTAACACAGCCCGGGCATTCCCAGGCAGCCTCCTGAAGCCTTGGCTCCACCACAGGGATTATAAATGAATTCCTTAACAAATGTTCATTTCAGCAGCCACCCGTCATGCTTACATAGCGGTTTATGGTCCACAAAGCCCTTTCAAATCCATTACCTCTGGCTCTTTGCAGCGACTCTGTGAAATACGTAGGGCCAATATTCTTGTTCTTTCTCCTTTTATAGAAGAGAAATCAGCACTCAGAGACCAGGTTGCCAGGGCCAAGTACTGTGCGCTGTGCTGATCTGTGTAGTTAAGGCTCTGGGAGCAGGCTTCCTCAAATATTTATGGAGGAGCTTTTATCTGTCCATCATAATGAAACATTGCAAAGAAACCATCCTGGCTACAGTGAAAGGTGGATTCTGCAAAGTAGTGCTGAGAAATAAATGTAGGGTCAGATAGAGAGACAGACAGACGGCTAGGAATCACATGGGGGGGTGGGGGAGGAGAAGGGTGCAGACGGAGGAGCTGGGCTTGGAGTAAGAAGCCTTCCCAGCGTGTGAGCAGCAATGTCTCCATGTGTTTTAGGAAGATAAGTCTGGCAACAATTAGCAGAATGGTTAGGAGAGACGGAGAGAGAACGCAAGAAAGCTAGCGAGAAGAAGTTTAAATCAGTGCTTTTCACATTTTAACATGCATACAAATCACGGCTGGATCTGATTAAAATGCACTGATTCAGGAAATCTGGGTAGGGCCGAAGAGTCTGCATTTCTAGATAGCACCCAGGGAATGCCAACACTGCTGGTCCATGGGACCCGCTCTTGAGTTATCAAGGGTTCAAATCCTCCAGGTGTCAGAGCTGGGGATCTGGATTTGGAGCATCTGGACTGTGTGTTCAAGTCTTCAAGTGTGGCCCACTGACCAGCATTCTTTGGCATCGCCCAGAACTTGTTAGACATGCAAATTCTCGGGCCTCACCCTAGACCCAAGAATCTTTGTTTTGAGAAGCCCTGCAGGGGATTCCTATGCAGCATCATGTCTGAGCACTGTGGGGAGACTTGGGAGATAAGAGAATAGGGTTCAACTGCCAGAGACTGGCAGGTCCCATCACTGGGAACCCCAAGATACCTGCTGTGATGAGCTTTTTTGAAGGCCACCCCCCATCCCCCATAGCTGCCTTCCTGAAACCATCCACCACTAACAAAACTAAGCAGTGCCTGATTTTGGCGGGGGGGGGGTCTTCCTTCCCACTAGAACATCCACCTGGTGGCCAAGTGGCTCGGCACCCTGGAAGAGAAGCTGGCAGAGTATGGTGAGAATAGCCACCCGGAGCTGAGGGTCTTCATCAGTGCAGAGCCTGCACCCTCCCCGGAGGGCCACATCATCCCCCAGGGCATCCTGGAGAACTCCATCAAGATCACCAACGAGCCTCCCACAGGCATGCATGCCAACCTGCACAAGGCCCTGGACAATTTCACTCAGGTACAGCCCCGGGAAGGGCATGGGGAACGAGCAGCACACCTCACCATGGGCTGACTCAGCAGGTCGAAGAGCACCCTGCTGCAAGGGGCTGTGGAGCGGTGTGTCCCCTCTGTGACTGACCTCCTCCCAGTGCCCGCTGAGTACAGCCCAGCTGTCTGTTCCCCAGTACCCCCCGGGGGGAGCCAAGCTTGGGGTCTTTCTTCGGCAAGAGGTGTGGGGGAACTTTCCACAAATCTCCCTGCTAACGAAATACCCCACAGAGGAGATGTGCTACGCTGGTCACACGTTTACTGGCTAAGCACGCTGTCTTCAAGCAGGGGACGGATGCGCATGTTCAGGTGAGAACACCTGCCATCTGCATGCGTCCTGAGTGTCCAGGGTTCACACAGCCCAGGTGTCAGGGGTGGGATCTGGACTTGGAACGTCACCGCCTGGCAGGCTCTCAGACTGTGGTCCCTGGAGCAACAACAGCACCTCCTGGGCACTTTGTAGAAATGCAACTTCTCAGGCCGCACCCGAGCCCCACTGAATCAGAAGCTCTGCGGTGGGGGCCCAGGAACCTGTGTTCCAACAGGCTCTCCAGGGCATTCCACTGTACTGCCCCTTGGAGAACACCGTGCTACAGTGAAGCTGAGACTCTCAGGGCAGAAGGTTCAGACGTAGGCCACTGCGTACTGGAATCTTCCTTTAGTGGGAATCCAAGACTCGTGTTGTGGAGCGTGTGTTTAAAGGCCAAGAGAGACCCATGGGTAACTAACCCTATGTATGAATTGACTTGCGAAGTCTGCAGCTCAGGCTTTTTTCACCTTCTCGGGAAGGCAGCCTGTCTAGTTACTGCTCTCTTGGGGAGCTCCAGCTTCCTGGGAAGGGAGAATCCACAAAGGTGTGAATGCCAGGAGATCCAAGGCCACGGGGCCACCTTGAAGTCCATCCACCACACTGGGCCTTGGTGGAGTCCAAGGGGAGGGGTCTAGGATCTGTCCTCTCTGATGTTGTCTTAGAATAGCACCCGCGGATCTCTGGCTTCACAGACCCCATGGTAAAACTCACCACCAGTCCCAGAGGGGTCATCTCGGAAACCTGAAACCGGCCGTCCAACAGGACAACTGTTATCACTAGCCCGACATAAACCACCAGGACTAGGGGCCTGCAGGGGCCTGGTCTAACTTACACTTGAAGGCTCTATGGCAGTCAGGGTCTGAGGAGATTTTATTGAGTACGTGAGACCTCTTGTAGTGTGGGGATCAAGCGGCCCCACTTGGAGAAGAAAGCTTCCAAGGAGAAGCAAAACGTGTCCAGCCCCCCTTCTCACTCCCTTTCCCATCCCAACTCCAAAACCCACTCATAATCTGGAACAGGGAGTGGGGGAACATTACCAGAAGATTCAGGATCCTTTCGCTTGACATTTTTGTTAAGAAACACCTGCCCATTGCAACATGGAGTAGAAAATAGGGTGCTCTCTTGTCCAGGGGCCTTTTCTTTAAAAAATTTTGTTCCTAAATAGGCCTTCACTAAACTCCTCTACGTACTCTGTACCAGTGGCCAGAACTTCTAAATTTTCTATGTTTCGTATTCCACGCAGGGGAAATACACATCCTTAACTCTGAAACCTACAGCCTTCTGTCCAGGAGGCTGGCAGCTGGTTCCAAGCAAGACCATTTTTTCGGTCACCGGTTGCCCAACAGTGTGAGAGCACATCACGCCACTGAAATGGACGCTTAAAAATGGTTAACGTGATAAATTTTATGTTGTGTATTCTACCGGGAATTTTTTTTTTAATTCATAATTGAAAAGAAAAAGGCACTGGGATGCAGTTAGCTAGCTCTCTTGAAGTACACAGAGACCACTTTCCGATCTTCCACCTTGAGGGTCTTGGACAGATCCAGGGAGAAGGGCAGTAGGTGTCTCAGATGCTGGATCTCCTAGTAATATTACAGAATTATGCCTCAGTAGGATTATTATCATCTATACACACCTTCTGGCTTCATCTTCTCAGCCTCCCCATGGACCCTTGTTCTTGGGTTCCTGTCCCTGCAAGCCCCATGTCCAGTCTTGGTTATCGGGGCTATAAATCCCAAGGATGCAAGGCTTTTCCTGGTTATTCAGGCTCTACCACAGTTGGGCTTTGGCCCATTTATAGCCATCTTCAGTAACTCATTCTGAGAAACAGAGAGATTTAGGAGTATATTCATTGCTCACACGTGTTTTAATTGTTCCATTCTGCTCTTGTTACGTGCCCTGGAACAGAGAGCCGGTTAATACCGCCTATTGTTCACTCTGTTCCCTCAGAACCCTATTTTAGCCCATTTAAGGGACAAATGGCAGAATTGAGTTCTTTTTATCCCTGCTACCTGAGCTGTTTGGGGATGATTATTTTATTCTGATTTTGTTTGAGTGTGCCACCATCAATCAGTCTCAGCATCTTAATGTAGGACCCCTTGTCTTTGTGCTTAGAGCTCTTTATCAGCAGGGCCCGGTGCCTGGGTGGCTCAGTCGGTTAAGCGTCTGCCTTCGGCTCAGGTCATGGTCCCAGGGTCCTGGGATCGAGCCCCGCGTCGGGCTCCCTGCTCCGCGGGGGACTCGTCTTCTCCCTCTCCCCTTGCTCATGCGCTTTCTCTCTCTCTTGCTCACTCTCTCTCTCAAATAAATAAATAAAATCTAAAAAAAAAAGTACTTCTCTCATTAAAAAAAAATAATAATAACAAAGGAAGCATCCTACATGTCTCTAGAGGACAGCTCTACCCAGAAAGCAGTTAAGTTCTTGCTTGCACGAGGCAGTGACTTTGTCCTCTGTGCCCCCTATGACCTTTCATATCCATACCTTTCTGCCAAATACGGTACCCAACAAAGGCACAGGGGGACCCCCCATCTATCCAGAGACTGTCCTGGGTTCATCATGGAACAGTCAGGTCTACTGCAAGTTTAACTGGTCCTGTCTCCTCTGCTGTTCCTGCCCAGGTGAGCCAAGTCGAAGGACCAGTCCTCCGGTGAAATGGCAGGACTCAACCCAGTCCAGTTGGCTCGAGCTTTGAAAGCGCCCCTCGTAGGCTCTGTCTGCAACATCTTGCTCCTTCCTGGTCACAAGGGGTCTCACTCAGGGGAAATCATTGTTCATTCCAGGCAATCTAAGGACTCTTGTCCATCCGCCCCTTGAAAATGCAGGCTTTCCCCGTCTGCCACACCGTCCCCCCCATCCCCTCGTAAAATCCGCCAAGTACAACCTGTTGCCTTCCTCTGCACTCTCTCGCTTTACTTCCTTCTGTCCCTTCTTTCATCCCCTCTTCATGAGCCCCATCTCCCTCCCCCCCACCCCCACCCCACGCCTTGTGCGCTGCAGGCAGGACCCCTCTGGGCTCCTGTTCCTGCGGCCGCGTGGCGGGTCACCCCTGCTCAAGTTTAGAAGAGCAGTTGTCAAGGTCAAGGGCATGGCACTCCTCTTTCCCTCGTGGCTCTGATTCCCACGCTCCCCCTCGGTCACACGGGCCATGACCACACCTACTCTGGCTCCGAGATGGGCAAGAGAAGCATGCCAGGAAGGGGAGAAATTTGAGATGATGCTGTAGGAGTCCCCCCCCACACACACCCCAGCACAAAGTGACACTCCTCTGACACATGCCACCCCCTCAGGACCCACTACCCCGGTTTCCATCAGCTGCACTTGCGAACTTAATCGGCACGTCCGTGGGTGCAGACATGAATTACAAACCAAACCCTGTAATAACCTGAATCTAAACCTTAACTCCGATTCTAAACTAGAGCCCACCCCCTCCCCAAGGTCCCCTCGAACCCTAAGCCCACGCCTACCCACAATGCAATCTGTAGTCTTTAGCTCCAAACCTAACCAGCACATAAAGGAAACTTTTCCAACGCAACTTCCAACCACCATAACCCATACGCTGGTCTGCACTGCATAACAGCAGATCTGTGCTAACGTTGGATGCAACTTTCCTTGCAGGACACTCTGGAGATGTGTTCCCGGGAGATGGAGTTTAAGAGCATCCTCTTTGCTCTTTGTTACTTTCATGGGGTGGTGGCAGAGAGACGGAAGTTTGGGCCACAGGGATGGAATCGTTCATACCCCTTCAACACCGGGGACCTCACCATCTCTGTGAACGTGCTCTACAATTTTCTGGAGGCCAACACAAAGGTAGGGTTTCTGGCCAGTGCAGGGCAAGGGGGGGCAGGGGGGGCGCCTCTCAGAAGGATGAGGCAGCGTCAGCACAGGGAGAAGGGGCGTGCACTGTGAATGGTCTAACACCCTCTCCAAGTACAGGAAGGAAAGGCCAGCCCAGGACCAGCACGAGGCCAAAAGGAGCACCTGAATATGCTAAGTAATGGTAGGGAATTAGGAAAGTACCCTGGTCTTTACTTTGTTCCATGTGACATTCGCCCACGGAAGGGACTTGTCGGTAGAGCCCGACTTAATGACCATGAGAAAGGGAAGGCTTTTTTGCAAGGGGGTTGGCACCTTGCCTCTGCTCACCCTTGGGTGTAATTTTTCAAGCATTTAACGAGCTCCCAGGCATGCCTGACCCTGCTGGGCACTAGGGGCGTGCAGGTGAGTACAACATTGCTCCTCATCTTGAGCAACATCCCGTCTTGTGGCTTACGCTCTACCCACAGATCAGGGCAGCCCCGATGTCTGTGTGGAGGTCTTTCTTCCCTCTCAGGTCCCCTATGATGATCTGCGCTACCTCTTTGGAGAGATCATGTATGGAGGCCATATCACAGATGACTGGGACAGGAGACTCTGCAGGACGTATCTGGAGGAATTCATCAGACCAGAAATGCTAGAAGGACAGCTATCTCTGGCACCAGGTTTCCCACTCCCGGGCAACCTAGATTACATTGGCTACCATCAGGTGAGGCTCCGCTCCTATGGGACCTGGGTCTTCCTTCAGGTCTGTCCTGCAGGACCAGGGATGTTCGCACAGGGCCAGGGAAAAATGGCCTATAGAACAGAGCTCCTATGGAGTGTGGTTCTCAGCCCCAAGTTTGCCCTATTCGATTTGAGAGCTGTAGGATTCCCGGCCTCAAATTAGCGATACAGTTGAGCTTTCGGAGATCTTTCTATTCTTTTTTTTTTTTAAAAGATTTTTTATTTATTTATTTGAGAGAGAGAGAGAATGAGAGATAGCACAAGAGGGAAGAGGGTCAGAGGGAGAAACAGACTCCCTGCTGAGCAGGGAGCCTGACATGGGACCGACATGGGACTCGATCCCGGGACTCCAGGATCATGACCTGAGCCGAAGGCAGTCGCTTAACCAACTGAGCCACCCAGGCGCCCAGACCACAGCTATTTTTAAAGTGCTCATCTTTGCCTATTTATCCTGCCATGGAAGATATATTAAAAGATAATTTAAAAAAAAAAAAAACCTTTTCTGTTGCTTGACTTTTGAACATGCCTAAAATAACTCTGAATACCAACCTTAAGGGAAATACCATAGAAACATTAACTGCAAACTTAAAAAAAAAGTTTTGAATTCATAACATTTAAACAGAAGGACGCCTGGCTGGCTCAGTGAGAGGAACGGGTGACGCTTGCTCTTGGGGTCATGAGTTCGAGCCCCACGTTGGGTATAGAGATTACTTAAATAAATATTCTTTTAAAAAACCATAAAATTGAAAAAGATAAACTGCCAAAGTCATTCAAACCAGAAAAACTTGAACCTATGAAATTTCAAACAGTAAGACTATTTAAAGAAAAGGGATTTTTTAAAAAAAAAAAACTGCTTGACCAGAAGGCCGTGAAATTTGTGCAAGAGCGCCCCCTAGTGTCTGCCAGACCATCCGACAAGAGGCTCGAGGCGGAGTTTGCACAGTTCCAAATGACTGAGACAGATTTTCATCTTCTTTACATCTCTCTTTAATCCGCCAGTTTATAGATGGTTGCAGGGCACCTACGAAGAGTTCAGGAGTCTGCTGGGGGCTGGGAGAAATACAAAAATAAACACATGAATTTGCCTTTAAGGAATGAGCCATCTTTTACTTAGACAAGGGGATACACCAGGAAATCAAAATCAAATTAGGAGCTCACCTTGAGGGGGGCTTTCTCATGGTAATGGAAAGAACTGGAAGGGGGGGTACCCAGAAAACAGAGAAGAAAGTGAGGGGCGGTTTTTTAGGGACAGCCAACGGTGGCCCACCATAACTGACCGCAGGGATGCATTGTTCAGATGGCACAATTAAAAAATGTTTTATTTCAAAAAAAAAAAAATGTTTTATTTCAAATAATTTTTGCCAGAGGCAGGAATTCCCTGGTTAACAGCAAAACTCGCCTTGTCCCACCGCTCGATTCACACGTGGATTGTGCATGCGTGGTCCCATGTTTGCATTTAGGTTTGTCATCTCTGATTCCGGTAAATGGAGAGGAAAGAAAAGGACTTTAAGGGCAAGAGAGTGGGGGTCCTAGGAGGGCTTGAGTAAGACACGAGGTAGGGGTCAGTGTTTCTCAAGGACTCTGGGAAGGCTTGTGTGTGGAGGGAGGGACAGGTGTAGACCAGGGAGCAGGCAGAGCGGGGGGGGGGGGGGGGGGGGGGGGGAGGGGGGGGGGGGGGGGGGGGGGGGGGGGGGGGGGGGGGGGAGACTGGAGACAGATCTGGCCCTCTAAGCTTCCTGAAAAAGAGAATGCCCGCATGGGCATGGACGCTCTGGAAAACTGGCCCGGCACACGGTAACATGGTGTCAGGACGAGGCTGGCTGCAGGAATGTGCCCCAGGTGGAGAGCGTGCCCACGACAGCCAGAGCCGGTGAGCGGCGCTTGCCTGGACGGCCAGAGGGACGCGGGGGCCCACGGACGGCCCCTCGGAGGGTGAACCAGAGTGGGAGCGGGAGACTCGTCTCGGTTTGTGTGTCAGTGAGCTCGCCCCTGACTTTCAGTATATCGATGCCGAGCTGCCTGCAGAGTCGCCCTACCTCTACGGCCTGCACCCCAATGCCGAGATCGGCTTCCTGACCCAGACCTCGGAAAAGCTCTTCCGCACGGTGCTGGAGCTGCAGCCCCGGGACAGCCACGCCGGGGACAGAGGAGGGGCCACAAGGGAAGAAAAGGTACGGGGACCGGGGGCGGGGGGCACTGCCGAGCCCCTTGTCGGGCCCCCGAGGTGGGCACAGCGAGCCGCTCCTCCTGCTGGTCGCCCACCACGGGCACCGCAGACCACGCCTTGCGCGCCTTCCACTCGCACGTGGCTGGCGCAGCCTTAACCCACCGCACCGGTTGTCCGGCTTAGCCACAGGACGCGCCTGCCACTGGGCTTGGCTGGCTTTTCTAGTTCACCCAAAGACCACTTCTCTGCCAAAAGGAAGCAAGGCGGGAACAGTGGTGGCGTCGGGAGCTAGAGAGGGACCTCATGATTTCTCAGCGAACTGAGCAGTGCCGGGTGGGCGGCTGTCCTTAAGAGGGCCACCTTCATGCCACCAACTAGACGCTCGTTTGGCGTAGTCACTCTTGAAAACGAAAATGCCTTCTCTTGGCGTGAATGACACGGGATCTGAGTCTTCCAACACTGGGCACAGGACTTCCAGGAATATCAGGAAGGCAGAGGGGCACCGTGGAATGGAGAGGCAGCCTGGGGTGAGGCTTGGGGTGAGGTCCCACCACCGGAGGCCATCTGAGGGCCCTGCTCCTGGGGTGCGTGCTGCACAGGGCAAGAAAGGAAGGAGCCCCCGATTTCTTCCGAGATGAAATCCCCTCTCCCCCACCACTCCACAGTGCCGCCTGGATTCCTTTAACTGGGTTTACAAGGAAACATACCCGGAAGACTAAAGGTTAGGAAGCTGGGTAGTTAGCGACACTTAGGCTCCAGGGATAGATTTTAGGAAAACAACTCACCTCCTACTAAGGTAGCTGGACTTTTGTTTAAAGGTGTGGAGTGGTGCCATACGGTAGTTCTCAGATCTTAATATGCCCCAGGGCAAGCCCGGGAGCTTGGAATTCTGCCTCTGGGGTCCGGGGTTAGGCGCAGGTATATGCACCCTGGTGATCTGGCTGCAGGCGAGCGTAGTTCAAGAAACACTACTCAGCCGATCCCACTATTTGATGGCCTAAGATAGAATTTGAGAACAAAAGGAAGAGAAGAAATGTTATGTTGTCCAGAAGCCAAACCAGCTGGAATGAAAAACTGTTCCTAGCTCTAACATTGAAAAAGGCCGGGGCTATACAAGGAAGAGACTCAGGGCTCTTCAGGCGGGGTTCAGAGAAGCTTCTCGTTCCCGGCAGCTCCAGAAATGACATGTGGGCCTGTTGCAGAGGTGAATGGCCCGTGCAGGGCCACTGTGGTTATGCTGCTCATGCGGCCGGGCCCTGCGCGCTGAGCTCACGCCTTCTCCTTCACACCAACACGACAGCTCAGTGGAGTGGCAGAGTGCCAGAGTGGAGAACATGTTTTACTATTAAGTGGAGGTGACCCAGAGGCGGCACACTGCACGAATCCACTCCCTGCCCACTGCCATCTGAACGAGAACCTGGGACAGGTGTACCCCTGGGCCGCCAGGCACCGGGGGAAGGAGAGACAGAAGCCGGGGGCCGGGCAGCTGGGGAGGAGACACGGCCGTCCACCACGGTCTTCAGCCCAGGCTTGGATGTTCTTGCTGGGATGCCATGGGCTCTTCTGATGACTTGAGCCAGAACTGCTGTCCCCAAATGCCTCTCGCAGGCAGATGAGCCTGCTACTCATCGGGGGGGCGGTGGGGGGGTGCCTGGCCATATTACTTTGCTAGGCTGCCATCACAAAGTACCACAGACCTGAAGGCTCGGACAACAAGTGTATTTTCTCACCGTTCCGGAGGCTGGAAGTCCAAGGTCAAGGTGTCGGCAAGGTTGCTTTTCTTCTGAGGCTTGTCTCGTCAGTTTGTGGATGGCCAACATCTCCTATGGCCCCGTGAGGCCCTCCCTCTAAGCTTGTGCACCCTTGGTGCCACTCTCTATGTGTCTAACTGTTCTCTTCCTATAAAGATACCAGTCGGATTGAGTTAGGACCACGTTAATAGCCTCATTTTAATTTAACTCTTTAAAGGCCCCGACTCCAAACACAGCCAGATTCTAAGGCACTGGGGGGTAGGACTTCAACATGTGAGTTTTACGGGGACACGATCCAGCCCATCACTCTGACCTCCCTTGGACATACACCCTTCCTCTATAGGGGACGAGGTAGTCTGTCTCCCCCATTTGCCCTTGACTACTGGATTTCGCTAGCGTTGAACAAGTGGCTAGTCGTCCGGAGGAAAGCGGAACAGGTGCTCTGACTCCTTATACCGCAGTACTTTTCAGATGGCTACATTGAAACACTTTTTTTTTTTTGAAGATTTTATTTATTTGAGAGAGAGAGTGAATAAGAGAGTAAGAGAGAGAGCATGAGCTGGGGTAGGAGCAGAGGGAGAGGGAGAAACAGACTCCCGGCTCAGCAGGGAGCCCGACGTGGGGCTCGATCCCAGGACCCCGGGATCATGACCTGAGCCAAAGGCAGATGCTTCACGACTGAGCCACCCAGGCGCCCCTACACTTAAACATTTTAAAAAGCATAAAAAGTACTGAAAGAAAACCTGGGTGAATGCGTTTATGATCGTACAAAGAGGAAGGCATTCTAAAATGTTTTTTTTTTTTTTTTAAATGCAACTCCAAATCTATAAAGATTGACAAATCTGGTGACTGGAAAAATTTAAAAGAT